AACCAGGACTAAACCAGGACTAAACTGGGACTAAACTGGGACTAAAACTAAACTGGGACTAAACAGGACTGGACTGGGCTAAACCAGGCTCTTCCTTCAGACTGTGGGCGGAGCTTGCGCTGGTCCTGCTCCGTGACAGGATGTTTGGGACCGTCCTCTGCCGCACGCTGGAATTCTGGGGAATCATGAGGGAGACGGGCGATGAGGTCGCGGCGTAGGGGGGCGGGGCTTTCACGGGGGATGACGTCGTGGCGTTTGGGGTTTTAGAGGGAGACGCGGTGGTTTGGGCGGGAGATGACGTCACAGCGTGAAGGGGTGGAGCTTTGGCGAGTAATGATGTCACGACTGGGATGGACGGGGCTTCGGCAGGTGATGATGTCACAGTCTTTGCTGGTGTGGGATTGGTTGATCGAAGCTCCTGTGAGTTTTTTTCCTGTTCTGCTGAAACCTCAGAGCTGCAAACGAGAACAACAAAGCTCTGAAGGGGGAGAGACTCAGCACAGGGAGCAACAGGTGGTTGCCGTGGTAACGTGTCATATAAAATCATAAACACAGGTGCGCTCCAGCAGGTGGCGCTCTCACCTCTGCTCCATGACGAGCTGCTGCCGTTGGACCTTCACATCCGTCTGTCCCTCGGCCTGAAACCGACCAATCAGAGCGGGTTAAACCAGCGCGGGTCCCGCCCCCCCGATCTGCCCGGTAACAGTCTGGCGCTCTCACCTGATTGGCTCTCCTGCGCCGCGGCTTCGCCCTCTGCAGGTTGACGACCTCGATGACATCATCGTCTCGAGGAACCATGGCGTCTTTCCGGCGTCTGTGTTCGCGGAGCAAAGCCTGGACCGACGGCTCCTCTGGAGGAACCACAGAACAGAGCAGAACTTTAAAATGTCACGTTCTAAACCAGGACAGAACCTTCCAGAACTTTCACCCTCAAGTCCTTTTAAAGAAAAAGACACATGAAGCTTTTCCTACATCCGAGAAAACGTCGTGTGGGAAGAGTCTGTTCAGGAG